CAGTTCTTCCACGCTTAAATAAAACATACACAGGGGGGGGGGGGGGCAGGAGGAACCAGGAAGGAACACAAAAAGGCCTAGGTATCCAAAACTCTAAGGGATTGCCTTTAAGTATATTTTTTCCTGTTGCAATTGGTGTTTTTATTACATGTTCAGGCTTGCAACAGCTGGCACTTAATAGACTCTATCCAGCTCCCAGCTATTTTATCTCTCTCTTTGTATTCTCACCACCACCACCTCACCTCTTCTTGTTTTCAGTGCTTTAAAACAACAGCAACATAAAAGACACCACATAGCCACTGCTTTTAATTATCATCGGCAGTAAAATATAAAGATCACCTTCAATCTATAGTTAGTTGCAAAGGATATTATCTATCACAATTATTATTTTATATTCCTTGTAGCCTAATAGCAAAATTAGATATTTACCATAGAGATGCATAACAGACTATTTGAAAAATACAATTTGAATTTGATTTAAGAAATAGTACTGTGAGAAACCTTTTGTTTTCTCAACCCATTTCCTCATACCTCTTTTTTATCTATCCGATAATTTCCCTCCCTCAAAAATGGGGGGGGGGGAGCTGAAACAATTTTTTATAGAAAAACATCTAGAAAAGAAAAAGTTAAATAGGTTTCTCCCCCTCAGCTCTACCACTGCCCATTAATCCTCCAACTGTATTTAAAGTTTATCATTGCCCCTTTTTTATTAAAGCAAGCAAGGAACTACATGAAACCGTCCAAACTATTAAATGTCTCTCACCCAGTAAAAATCTAGTTTGGTCCAAAGAATACAGCAATTACATTTCATCCCTTCTTCCCCCTCCCTTTTCTCCTGTGGGAAAAAAATGAGATCATAGACTTCCTTAAGAAATGGGACAGATCTTAAGAGCACCCTGGAGACCCTCCTTCCTTTGCTACTCAGTCACGTGAGGGAGGACCACAACGTCAAGGCCCCATTCAGTCAAATGAGCAAAAGGTCACTTAAACGAGGTTGGATTTTAAAGTGAACAAAGTAAAAATTCACCTTACCATTTAACAATAAAGGAACACAAGACTGTTCAGTCAAGAATCTAAAATTATTTAACTGCACTGATGTTACACCTCTTCAGAAATCTCCCACTCTCTTAAGATGCTCAAATCTGGGACTGAGTGTAATCAAATAAACACTCCCATTTTTCATTTCCCCTTCCCCTTCAATATCCTGGCACGGGTCAGAGAAGACCCTTAGCAGTGCTCCCTCAGGTACGGATTAGTGAACCATAGCACTATTCTATAGCTCCGGTGAAGCGATTATACAAATTAGGATTATGTGCTTGTTGGTTCCAGGTGACTAGAACTGTCCATTTACCACCTGAAAACAGCCATTTCTGGCACTTTATGTTCTGCAGCTTGAAATGGACAAACAGTGGTTTGTTAATAAGGAATAATGTCAAGGAGAAGCAGAACGTGAGAAGGTGCTCCCTCTCTTACTGCTGCTATTATTAGCGTGGCTGGGCTCTCTCTGTGTAATGGGCGCTGGGACTGCCTTGTGTGGAAGAGCGATAGGACTATCTGTTCTGTGTCTGTGGTGCCATTTTTTGCTTCCCAAGCAGCACCTCTGGATCATAATTAGGCATCACACAAATCACAATACCAAATTAACTGGTTTCCCCTTTTCCTCCCCATCACTCCATCTTGGGAGTGGGGGGGGGAGTTTTCTGAAAGTTCAGGTTGACACGTAGACTACAGATGTTTCCTACGAACAAAAAATACATTTATACAATCTCCTGTCCCAAGAATTAAAACATGGAGGTTCTAACTCAAATACAAAATTAAGCAAGATAAAAGCTAGGAAAGCAAATTAAGGTGGCTTAACATATACCATGAATATGTTTTAAAGATTTCTAGATAGGAACAAGAGAAGGAAAAAAGCGCATCCAAGCAATAGAGTAGTTCTGTGCCATATCAAATTCATAGTGACAAGCCAACAAACAGGGAGAGTTCTGCCATTAGACAGAGGGAGGCAGATTTTTTTCATATATCATGAAAGGGCAATGAATTATCCCCTTTGTATCCCATGCCACAGCTGACCCCATTCAGAAGAAACCCTCCAAACCCTTAGAAGCTCAGGAAGAGCGCTTGGAAGATGCAGTGAGGATAGATGGATGGATCACTTTCACCAAACACATTTTATTAAGTAAATATAATTTTTGAATTTGTCCTTCCTTTATATGCTCAAAGGCATGTAAATCTTGACATCAACAAATCTGGCTTCAACACCATACTAAGAAGAACACTGAAAGTAAACAGCACAGATGAGAAATTTTTTAAACATGTTAATGGAGTTTAAAATATTTACCTCTGTTCTAAAACTATGCAGCAACATGACATTATACTAAGTGAAAATGAAAAATGAAAGAAACTGGGCATCGCAAGACGTGCAGTAGAGAAAAAGAAAGAAACAAACAAAAGGACTTTTATTAGAAACAGTCTAACGTCCCCTTCCCGACAAATGCAAAGGAAACTGTTGCAATATTCACTTTCATAGTCTATTCCACAGTGTTCTTGGGAAGAATATTGTGAAATCTTTGCGTATGCGTGCATATGCACACATACAGAAAGACGCAGAGATTAATATGCTTTCAAGACCTCAGCAAGCTCCTGAAAAAGTCATTTTAAAAGTCACCCATCAGCAAAGTATCCTTTATGGATATAGAGAACCTTTCTTAGAAATGCAAACATTTTGTAATTAGCCTTATGTTAGGAACCTGATAGAAACACACCTGGACAGGATGTGGAGAACAGAAAGGAAAGAGACCCAGAGTCACCTTCACAGGATACAAACCACAAGTAGCCTTCAGTTATGGAAGTAGTAGGTAAGTGGTAGACATGATTAGCTGACCAGATCTGACCTCCACTGACCAATTTCTCATGCTTAGAATTTGCCATCCCTCCATTTCCCCTTGACAATGTGAAGACAATTGAACAAGGGACAAGTGTTTGTCCTTTGTCCCTTTTTCTGTTTTTCATGCCATCATGCATCTCTTTAATCCCAGTTCTCCATCAAGAATCTAGCTAAAGAATTATTATTATTATTATTATTATTATTATTATTATTTTATCCTGCCTTTTTCATATAGAACTCA